ACCCAGAGTGCTGGAATTACAGGCATGGGCAAACAAGCTTGGCAAAGTTAAGCTTCCTATAGCCTTGGTTTCTCATTTGTAGAATGATATAAGATGAATGTCACAAAAATGTCACAAGAGACGGCACAAAGATTTACTGAGATAATGCACATGGACTATATAGTGCCTTACAGTGCACTTACTACAACAAAGTGCTCATTCTGCATGTAATGAATACAAACCTTTCATCATGCAAAATATTGAAGGGAAAAGCACAGAAGCTATTGTCAAAAATCACATAATACACAATACAATTATCTACCAATGAAATTAAATTTTTAAAAGTAAAAAAAACCTACTTAATATTCTGCAAATATTCAGTAAAAGTATTATTATATGACTGACACTGAATTAAAAACTATAGATATGACTGTGAACAACATAAATATATAGAGAGCCTAGCAGAATTTTTAAAACCGGCCATTTTAACCTAGTATGGAAAGTACAATGAAGGAATAGACATCAAGTATTCTCACAGCCCATACATGAAGAGGCCCTCGAGGTTGTGACACTTAGAGAGGTAAATGAAGACTATAATATCAAAGGATCAACCATGAAAAGAAAAAGGAGTATGGCAGAAGGATACTATAAGGAAAGATAAAGCATGATGTTTTAAATCTGAAGGCAAAGCCAGGCATGGTGGTGCACACCTGTAGTCCCAGTGCTTGAGAGGCTGAGGCAGGAGGACTGCCATGAGTTTGAAGCCAGCCTGGGCTACATAGCGAGACCCTGTCTCAAAAAAAAGAACCTGAAGGGAAGATAGAGTAACCAGACAGAAATGTGTTATGTTTTAATTCAAAAACAAGGCAAATGTTAACTTATAGAACTTACACCATACTTCAAAAAAAAAAAGAACTTATATCATAAAATGAAGATAAAAGGTAGAAAAGAAGGAATTTTACTTTATTAAACATGACAGTTTAACCTACAACTAGTAGGCAACTCAGTCACAATGCAGACATTTCAAAGGCTGGCAGTCTTTGAAGACTCAGAACTATCAGTCTGTGCTTGGTTAGGGCTATTCATGTACTATGGAAGCAGATGGGACAAACATTTAAAACTGTGAAAAGTTGATTGAAACTAAATATATTTTGAGTTTTGGTCTGTCTCTCCAAACTCTAACATTATGTGTGCTAAATAATTATGGACAAAATGATTAGGATTTGGGGGAGGGGGAAAGGTTGAGGATAGGGAAAAGGTGGAGGGGGAGAAGACAAAGAATGTAATAATAGCTACACTAACTTATTTCAAACTGTCCATCTCCAGTAGAAATGAATTTAAAGACTGCCATTTAAAAATCCTGTTTATACTGGGAAAACTTTTTATTTCTGGTACCGAGGATCGAATTCAGGACCTTGCCCTTGCAAGGCAGGTGGCAGAACCATATACTGGGAAAACTTTTTAATAAATTCTAATCTTAAAGATGTTTAAACAGGAAATTATAAGAGAAGAATATAACAACAAGATTCTTAAAAACTGGTCTAAGATTCACTAAACCATGGGCTAACGATTGAATTTGGTTTCTTAATTTACACAAGAATAAGATAACAATAGTCTAGGATTTGCAGTTTTGGAAAATTGTACTTGCCATGACAAAATCTCAGGGATGTAGCTCAGTGGAGTGTACTTGCCTAGCATGTGTGAGGCCCTGGGTTCAATCCTCAGCATCACAAAACATTTTTAAAATCTAGCACAAATCAAGTTAATTATCCTAACTCTGTATTGAAAACAGTTTCATTTGTGATTTACATGTAAGAGAACAAAACTTGATTATTTATTTATTTAAACTGGGTCTTGCTAAGTCACTAAGTGGGCCAGGCTAGGCTCCAATTTGGATTTCCTCCTGCCTCAGCCTCCCAGACTGTTGGGATTGTAGATGTGCATCACCATGCCTGCCTTCACAATTTGACTGAATACGGCAGTGTCTTCAACTTACTTGGCTTCAAATTTTACTTTATAATTATATGTGAAAAAGGTATCTGCATTCTAATATAAATGTTATTTACAAGTAAAAAAATATAATTCCTTTTGTTTTCCCTGGATACTTCGGCTCATTACACAAGCTGAAGTGGTGTTACTGGCTTGCTTTAAAAAATATTTATTTTCTGTCTACTTATAAATCAGTTAATAACATTCCCTCTTTTTCTTATGAGTTTCCACATTTCTAACACATCATTTGAAAAGTTCAATGTACCAAAAATTGTTTGAGTTGAAGAACCTATGAAGACATCAACAGTGTAGCAGAGGCTGAGTTTATAGATAATACAAATCTGTTGTTGGAATGTACCTGCACATGTCAGAATTTCTATAAGAAATTTAGCAGTAATTCTGACTTTGTGATAACAGTTTCATGATAATGCCATTTAAGAAAGTAGCTGCTTCCTGAAGTCAGTAAAAATTCAGTTGTCTACTGACCTTGTTTACTTTTGGTTCTTTGTTTCTATAAATTATAAATAAAAGCAAATAAACTGGTAAGAAAAATACTTCATTCCACATATCTAGGCAAGTTAAATTTTGTACTCGTGGAGAGCTCTGTATTAGAAAACTGCTTAATCCACAATTACTACACAGAGACAGAGGGATAAAGCCCACTGTCATTCACAAGCTGTTCACAAGAGGATATACTAACTGTAAAACACATACTCTATACCAGGCACAGGATGGAGTCATTTTAAAAAGGCATAATCTCATTTAACCCTTATAACAGGTAATATGAGGTCAACTGTATCAATATCCCTATTTTCCAAGGGAGGAAAAACAAGTTCAAAGAGATTAAACAAATACCCACAGCTACATGATTAGTAAGTGGCACAGGCAGTCTTGTCTGACTCAAAATACAGTTCATAGTCCATCTACATTAAAATTACCCTGGTTGTCTCTAAAGTAGAGTGCCCTAGACCACTATCTTTGTCAACAGAGCTAGTAACCTGGATTTTTAATTTTCTGTCCAAATAATTCCAATGCTCAGTAATAGCTTAAACTATCAATATACCATCATAGACTTATAGTGTGAGTCATTTTTTTATTTTGGGATATTCAAAAATTCAATAAAAAGGCTGAAATATAGGTAAAGTGGTTGAGCATTTGCCTAACATGCACAAGGCTACCAGTTCCATGTGCACCACCACCACCACTAAAAAAACCCCCAAAACCAAAATGTATTAAGCAAATAAAAAATGTTATGTGAGAAAATATAGCATAATTGTAAGCTAATAATATGAATGTTCACATTTTTAAAAATTTATTACAGTAAAAGACATACTGCCATTATTTCCCCTCCAAATATGTACTCCTCTCTTTGAACACACTTATCCCATCATTCTTGCCACTTTCTGAAGCAGTTCTGGAATTCCTGAGATTACCTTTAGTTGTGCTATCATGGCTGCCTAGATGTAATGAATTCAATCCAAAACATTTACCTCCAATGGTCATTTTGACTTTGGGGAAGAGTTAGAAGTTCCACAGTGTCAGATGCAGTGAATAAGGTGCATGGGGACTCACTATAATGTTTTTATTTGACAGAATTGCCAGAACATGTTTTGAATCAATTCAGGACATTGAGGCAGCCATGAAAAGACAGAAAGGGAACTTCCAGAACCGCCTGAGAAAGTGACAAGAACAATGGGATAAGTGTTTTCCAAAAAAAAGGGAGAGTACTTTGAGAGGATTAATGTATCTTTTATTGTAATAAACTTCTAATTTAAACATTCACCTTGGTTTTGGATCTTGCCTCCTATCTCCTCAGGCTTTTACTACACACTACTTACTTATTTCCATGGCTATCATGGATTGCAAGACATGAAATTATTAGTTCTGATGGATAACTCCTTTTGTATTTAAAGCAAACTGATTCTTTCAGTGCCTTAACTTAATGCTAATCAGTTTTCTGTATGTTATATTATTTAGCTAAATCAAGTTTCAGAAGGAACAACTTTTTTTCTTTTTCTGGAACCAGGAATCAAACTCAGGACCTTGTGCTTGCCAGGCAGGCACAGAGCACCACTGAGCTACATCCCCAGCAGAAGGAACAACTTTTTAACCTTCAGTAGTTTGTTAAATTTATAAGTATCATAATTCATTTTCCTACTAAATACATGGTTTGTTTTTATATGATCATTTATATACTACGAATGTAAATGTTATTTATTTATTTTTTTTTTGGTACCAGGGATCGAACTCAGGACCTTGTGCTTGCGAGGCAGGCGCCGGAACCACTGAGCTAAATCCCTGGCCTGAATGTAAATATTACACTTTATTCAAACATGATTTATCTTGGTCCTTTCTCTATGGTCTGAATTTGGTCTTATAATCCTAAAACAACATATACATTCTGCTCATTTCTGAAGAAATAAAATGTTTAAAAATTAGGAATTAGGCTGAGGATGTAGCTTAGGGGTGGAGTACATGCATGGTAGTGTATATGGGAGGCCCTGGGTTTCACTCTTAATACCATAAAAAAGGAAAAGCAAAAGACAACAAGATTAATCAAGACTTAACAATATACAATTTCAGTAACTGAAACATTTTCAACCCAGTTCCTTGCCTCAACCCATTTAATGGTTAAAAAAGGCAAAACAACATATTCTTTCTTCTGTGTTTTGTGTCTTGGTTGATAGTATTTGATCTCTTTTCACTGAAATCCAGAAGAAGCAAGGATGGATTCCTCTTTTGGAGTGAAAACAGCCCTGTTAATAATACCCTGACTTTAGCCAGTGGAACTGTAAGAAAGTAAATTTCTCTCGTTTGCATTTAGGAATTATAATTTGTAGCAGCCCTGGAAAACTAATGTAGCTTAGTTAAGGACAATTCATAGAGGGTTATATTTTCCATGATCTAGCATTTCATTGTATTATGTACTGCAAGAAAAAAACCACAAAAATTCTTCTTTATCAGCATATTCTGATATTATCAGGAAATTCTATTAAAAGGTGAACAAAAAACAATGTAATATCAATACTTACAATGTGTGACTCCAGCCAGAGTTTGGTAGAAAGTGGGAGTATCACTATCATCAGTGAGGGTAACATATACACCTCCAGATAGTAGCCAACGGGAGAAGGTAAAAGCATCTTTGTTTAGAAGCAGCCAATTTCTAAACTTTTCATAGTTTACCTTTTCACCCTAAAATTAAAATGAGAGAAGTTTTGTTAAATTATAGGATATCTTACTTGGAATCTACACAGCCCAAAATTAACTGACATTTACTACTCTACTATCTACAAAGAAGTAATTATGAAAGTATATATTGGGAAAATAATCTGTTTTTAAAAATAACTTAGGGCGGAGATTTTGCTCAATTGTAAAAAGATGGTAAAATGGTAATTCAGAACTTCCATCTGCATAAAATCTATGTGCTAACCACAAATTATTTCAACAGATCATTGAAGTTCATCAGATCATAAGCCAAGTTTTGTTTAGATATATTTAATAAATCAAAAATTTCACTTGACTTTCCTTCCTCTAGCACTTCACAATCTGTCTAAATTGGCATATTTTTACTTAAATCTGAACAAAATTAAACACATTTAAGTTTCATTTGCAAATTTAAAACAACTTTCTAAGAGTCCTCCTAGACTGACAATCAGGATCCCAGAAGGGACGCATTCATGAGTTCACTAGAATAAAAAAAGAAGCAATGTATTCTATTTCTTTACTTTCTCTTCAAGTATTTGTCTTGCTAAACCTTGGGAGGAAAAAAGTATACAGGATGATAAAACAGTATCACATAGCTGTCCAAATTAATCTCTTTGCTTGGTCAAGAGATCCTAAGTTTAATGAAGGTTAAGATATTTCTATGAGAAAAAAAGAAAAAGCTCACATGGAAATACAAAGAAAATTGACATTCAGGAGCCTAGGAGCTCTAATCCTAATAGAGACATTAAAGGATAGAAATAACTATTAATCTAGATGAGATATGGTAGATTTAACTTCCACACTGTTTAGCAGCATCCTATTAAGTAAAGCAATACACTTAGCCTGGTAGTTTCAGAACATTTAACAACAATGCAATCAAGGTAACACTGACAGTCTTGTTTTTCTGAATGGAACACTATGGCCTTCAGACTAGTTGCAGCAATACAAAAGGATACTGACAACATATTTAAAGATTAAGGATTTTATCTGTATTCTTACTCTACTCCACATTTCTCTAAAAGAGGCTTAGCAATATAAATTTCCTAAGGCCGATGTACACTTTTATAATTAATATCTGACATTTGAATAAGTCTTAAAATCAATAGCATTCTTCAATTATAAGTAATAGCTTTTTTCTTAATGATTATGATATTATAAAAAATATATTTGGTCTTCCCTTTTCCTTGCATACAACTCCTATACTATTTGGGATCTCCAAAATATATGTCTCTGTATGCTACTAAATTGACGGATAACTGACACCCTCTAAGTAGTTTCAAGATGGTCATTGTCTGATCACCTGAAAAATCAAGGAATGATTAGAGGTTGGGATTTTTTAGCCCATTCCCTAACCTCTGAAGAGACTAGGAGGCTGAAGGCTGAGTTGACCACCAATGGCCAATGATTTAAATAATCGTAACTATGTAACAAAGCTTCTATTAAAAAAAAATCCAAAAGAAAGCTGGATGTGGTGGCACATGCCTGTAGTCCTAGCTACTTAAGAGGCTGAGACAAGGAGAACCATTCAATCCCACAAGCTGGAGACCAGGCTGGACAACATAGTGAGACCCCATCTCATGAAGCAAACAATTATAAAAGGATGGTTTCTAAGAGACTTCAGACAGCTACACACATTAAGGTTCCTCAAGCATGGCACATACAGAGAAAAGCATGGAAGTTCCTTGCCACCTTGCCCTATGCATCTGTCTTAGTCACTTTATTAGTTACTGAGACACAATATCTGACACCCATAACCTAAAGGAGGAGAGGTTTATTTGAGCTGACAGTTACTGTCCACATTGATTGGCTCTGAGGCAGAATGGCATTGGAGGGGCATAGCAGAGGAAGAAATGCTTGTGTCATGACATCTAAGAAAGAGAGTGAGTGAAGGGAGAAGCCAGAGAGCAATATAAACCCTTCCAGGCCATGCCTCCAGTGACTCGCCAGTTCCAACTAGACTCTGCCTAACAATAAATTAGCTACAGTACCCCCATAATCAAATTACCTTTCAAAAGCCCTACATTTTGAATCTAAACCAAAATAGCACCTCTTGCATTTGGCTATTGATCTGTATCCTTTGTAATGCCCTTACAATAAGCCAGAAACACAAGCATTTTCCAAAGCTCTGCAAGCTCACTAGCAAATTAACTGAAACTGGGGAGGTGGTTGTGGGAACCCCAATTTATAACCAAAATGTTCAGAAACAGCATGTGGAGTGGGGTGCAGTCTGGTGGGACTATTTAAATAGTGTCAGAACTGAACATAATTAGAAGATACCCAGATGGTGTCTACTGAAAAATCAGCCACAGAATTGGTTACTCCTAGGGGAAAATTCCCATATATTTTGGTCATCAGAAGTCACAGAAGCAGACCCCTATAATACCAGCACTCTGGAGGGTGAGGCAGGAGGATTGCTGCAAGTTCAAGGCTAGCCTGGGGTACAGAGCAAGACTTCATCTCAAAAAAAAAAAAAACAAAAAAAGTCATAGAAATGATCTGCATTGTGAGTCAGTAGAGTAGGAAAAAAGTTTTGCTTTTACTTCTCAGAGTGTTATATAAAGGTGCTTCTTTGATTCACTGAAATATGGCAGTTTCGATGGTTTTAGTGAATCCAAGATAATATCAATTATAAGATGCACCTGTATCACTAAAAAAGAAAGTTGCTGCTTCTACCACCATCACATACAATACCTACTGAGTGTTTGCAATGTCCCATGCCCTGTTCTAAATATTTTATGTATTAATTTAACCTTCAAAGCACACTCTTTAGGAGACATTATCATTATTTTAAAATTTGATTGACTGACTGACTGTGGTTCCAGGGATTGAAACCAGAACCTTTACAATAAGCTATATGTCTGCTCTTGGTATTTTTTATTTTGAGATTGAGTCAGTTACTATGTCACTAAGCTGCTCGGGCTAGGCTTGAACTTCCATTCTTCCTTCCTCAACCTCTAGGCTTAACTTGGGGTCACTATTATTATCAATACTTTACACATGACAAAACTGAAATACCAAAAGGTTAAGTAATTTTCCCCAGCCTTACAGAGTGGAAGAAAAAGGACTGAACTCAGGTAGTCCAGGTTCCAAAATCCCTGTCCCTAAACTATACAAAACATTGCCCAGCCAGGGATTTAGCTCAGTGGTTCCGCCGCTTGCCTCGCAAGCACAAGGACCCGAGTTTGATCTCCGGTACCAAAAAAACCAAAAAACAAAAAAAACACACAATACACTGTCCAGCTAACTCCATGATGTATTTACTAATAAGTGATATATTTCAAAGAAATCTTTGAAATCCACCTGTCTATTTGGGATCATAACTGTCACTGAAATTCTGTGAAAATGGACTTTTTTTGCAGTGCAGAAGACTGAAGCTGTCTATCTTCTCAGCTACATCTCAACCCTTGATTTTTTATGTTTTTGAGTCATGGATCTTTTCTTCAAAAAAAATAGAAAAAAGAAAATCTTTTTTTATAAATTATTCTAATGACGTAAGTTTTTTCTAGGAAAAAAAATAATTCCAATACCAGAAAAGGCAATAAAAAATAAACAGACACCTGAAACTGGTACTTGTTTGAAGAATAGATTAAGATATGAATGTCTACTTTAAGAATCAACAACTAAAACAAAACAAAACAAAGTACCAAAAAAAAAACTAACACCACTCCTAGGCGGATTTCCTTGGTAACTTCAGCTATAAAGGTTAATAATAAATCACAAGCTAGAAAAGGCAAAGACTCATATTATATAAACTTAGGATCTAGGTTCCTATCTTTTAGCTGAAGTGTTTTTCTTTACAACTTTTTCCTCAGGAATAAAAAACAACACGGAGCATTGTTTGTGGAAGGTATGAATAATCTTATTTTGGTATAAAACTGATATTAAAATATATAAGGTAGATATCAAGGATCTGTATGCAATCATCACAAATTATTCAGAAATTAGAGCTGCTAAATGTATCAGAAAGTAAAATCAGATAACATTAGCTCATTTACAATGTTGCACTTTTAATTTTTTTTTTTTTTGTGGTGCTGGGGACCAAAGTCAGGGCCTGGCACAAACTAGGCAAGTGTACCATTAAAGTACACACTCCAGGGCCGGGGATTTAGCTCAGTGGTTCCACCGCCTGCCTCACAAGGGCAAGGTCCCAAGTTCGATCCCTGGTACCAAAAAAAAAAAAAAGAAAAGAAATCAGGTAGCAATGAGTGCTCCATGAAAAGATCTAAAGCTTCTAAAGAGTTTTTTTTTAAACCATCTTGAGGGACTTTTCACATATTAGCAGACCTCAGAAAAGAAAAAAAGAATTTCGTTCATTAAAGATGCATATTCCCCACTGTTTGTTTCTATTCTCTTTTAAAGATAAAATAAGAACAAATTAGCTTTGCAAACAAAAAAATGACAAATTTTAGCCTAGATATTTATAACAAAATAGGCCTTCATAAGATTGGTCACAAAATGGCTCAAGGCCAATTCCCGTAGGATCCTGAAGAAGTGGAGACTGTCAGTGTTGGAGTGTGTTTCATTGTAAGTATAAACAGCTGCCTTTACAGAACAGAGAATGTTCAGATTCACAAATATACCACTAATAAGTCATGGACCTTTGAGCACAGTACATAAAGAGTTGAAATGTTAATCAAAAATGCCAAGAATTGCCGGGGATTTAGCTCAGTGGTTCCAGCCAGCGCCTGCCTTGCAAGCACAAGGTCCCAAGTTTGATCCCGGGTACCAAAAAAAAAAAAAGAAAGAGAAAATGCCAAGAATACTCTGCAAATAAACATCTATTCATCATAGCTAAACTTATTACAATACAAATAAGAGTTAATACTCTGGGTCAAGATGAAAGAATAAAATGTAAATCTTTAAATATACCTCTGAGAAACATTTTCTGAGTGTATCTGGGACTTTACCATCCACCACATGGAGCATTCTTTCCATTTCTTCTCGTACAACATAGCTCCCAGATTCACTTGAAAAAAGACTAAAAATATCTAGGAGAAAAAAAAGAATAAATTAATCTTAACATAGATCAAATATATTCTGATGGAAGGGACATAAGAGAAAGATATCAATAACTGAATGATTACTAGAACCTAGCATTTTATAACTTAATTTATTCCTCAAAATAACCCAGCAACACAAAACAGTCATTCTTTTCAAATATATCAAATCTGCAAAAAGAATCTACCTGCTAAAATATCAAGTGTTAGCAAAGATTAGGAGAAATGGGATCTCTTATACAATGTTAATGGAAATATAAATAAATGTAGCCATTCTGGAGAATAATTAGCCAAAATGTAGAAAAAGTGAAAATGTGTGCCAGAAATTCCACTTACACCCTTCAGAAACTGATTCCTATGTATAAAATACAAGTTATTCACTAAGTATGGTTTGTAACAGCAACTAGAAAAAAAGATGTTATTAACAAGAAATAGATAAACTAAAATACATAAATATATGTATTTCATTATGAAATATATAATGAAATGGCATACAGCAGTCAAAATAAAGGAACTATTTTAATGTTTCTTCCCTTTTTTATTAGTATACATTTGCAGTACATAATAAATGCATTCATCCTTGGCAACTGGTACATACCTGTAGCAATTGATCCTTTTTACTTTCACTTTCCTCCTTTTCCTTCATGCCAATAATTATTTCAAAATAAATATTAAAAAATATAATATTCAGGGGAAAGGCAAGATACAAAATAACATGTATACCATTCAACAGCTGAATGATAATATCCGTGAAAGAGATACTAAGACAGCCTTACCTTAGTTGTAATATTTTATTTTTCACTCATTCTTTCATTTACTCACTTACTGACAGGTTCTCATTAAGTTGCTTATCTGGCCTCAAATTCACTATCCTCCTGCCTCAGTCACCTGAGTGTTGAGATTCCAGGCACATAACATCAAGCCTGGCATTATATTTTATTTTATTATTTTGTTACTGGTTGAGGTACTAGAAACTGAACACTGAGCTACATCTCTAGAACTTTACTTTTTATTTTGAGATAGTCTTGCTAAGTCACTGAGTTGCCTAAGCTGGGCTCAAACTCATGATCCTTCTGACTCAACCTTCCAAAGGGCTGGAATTACAGGCATGTGCGACTGCACCCAGGTAATATTTTATTTTTAAAAAATGAAGATCTAGAGGAAACATGACACAACACTGACAGTAAAGGTGCGTGGAAATATATACTAAATATATGATTGGGATATTGTTATGTGTTGATCTGTATTAAAGGCAAAAAGGAATTGGTTCCAGGACTCCCCCAGGACACCAAAATCAACTCAAGTCCCTTACATAAAATGGTACATGTATACATGTAACCTGTGCATATTGCCACTATACTTTAAATCATCTGTAGATTACTTAATACCTAATATAATGTAAATGGTATATAGTTGTTATACTGTATTAGTTAAGAAATAATAATAGGCAAGGGATTTAGCTCAGTGGCTCTGTGCCTGCCTTCCAAGTCCTGAGTTTGATCCCCAGTACTGAAAAAAAAAAAAAAAAGAAAGAAAGAAAGAATAACAAAGTCTGTACATGTTTACTACAGATGTAATTTTTTCCAACTATTTTGATCCACAGTTAGCTGAATGCATAGTTGCAGAAAGCAGATATATATAGTGCTAATATAGGTGTGACTGTGAGCTTCTCACATCTATATTAGCACTCTATTTGGAAATAGTCTTTACAGATATAAAAAAGTAACAGTGAAGTCATCAGGATGGCATCCAATCTAATGGATGTTCTTACATGAAGAGGAAAAGCCCTTGACAAGAGAGGTAGAGACTAGAATGATGCAGCTATAAGCTAAGGATTGCCAGGGACTGATGGCTATCACCTGAAGTGGCCAACAAGAAAGGATTCATCCCTATAGGTTTTGGAGGAAGCATGGTCCTCACACTTTTATTTTGGACTTATACCCTTTAGAACTTTGAAATTATAAATATCTCTTCCCTTCAGTCGTCAGTTTGTGGTGCTTTGTTACAAGGCAGCCCTACAAAACTAATAAAATCATGCAATTAAAATGAAAAAAAAAATCTATGTTTATGTCATCTAGGTGTGTAGTCCAGTGGCAGAGCTGTGCTTAGTATGCACAACCTCCTGAGTCAATACACAGGACCAAAAAAAGAAAAAAAAATTTTTTAATTTATATTTGTGTTATTGTTATTTTTGTTTGTTAAAAATTATTATTTTTAATTGCTACTGCTTGGAGACAGTTTATGTATGTATTGTGGGAAGGATGGTAATTTCAAAATAAAAAAGATCACAGTTATATTCTAATACATAAAATCTGGTTAATGAGTATGTTCATTATTTTAATTATGGTTGAGTGTACACGTGTCAAAACACATTAAAATGTACATTTTATATACAAGTATTTTATTTTACGTCAATAATAGCTCAATAAAACTGTTTTGTAAAAACAAGATTAGGAAGATAGTCTAGATTCAAGAGCAAGAAAGAAGATTCAAAGAGATTTAAAAGAAGCAATCTGAGAGCAGTGTCCTTAGTCTGTTTGGGCTCTATAACAAAAAACCATAAAGTGGGTGGCTGATAAACAACAGACATTTATTTCTCTCAGTTCTGGAGACTGGAAATTCCAAGATCAAGGAGTTACCAGATTTGGTGTCTGGTGAAGAACCACTCACCAGTTCATAGATGGTGATCTTCTCATTGTATCTTTACATGGCAGAGGTAGCAAGAGGTCTAAGACCTATTTTTAAAAAGGATACTTAATTCCATTCATAGATGACTAATCCTCATGATATAATCGCCTTCCAAAGACACTTTCTCTTAATACTGTTATTTGGGGAATTGAGAAGTCAACATTTTAATTTTAGGGGCACACAAACATTCAGACAATACCGGGCAGGTTAGAAAGGAAGGGGAGAGCCCAGAGGAAAGGGCTTTTGGGTCGCCTTCCGTCCCGCCCCTCCTGGCCCAGAGGTAGGGGCTTCTGAGCCGCCATCCCACTGCTCCTGGTACAGAGGAAGGGGCTTCTCGGCCACCATCCCTCCCACCACTCCCAGCCCAGAGGAAAGGGCTTTTGGGCCGCCTTCTGTCCAGCTGCTCCAGGCCCAGAGGAAGGGGCTTCCCAGCCACCATCCCTACCACCACTCCTGGCCCCTGTTCCACCTCTCCCAGCTCAGAGGAGGTGAGCCACAAGGGCGGCAACAGTACCCCTCCTGCCCCGCCCAGTCGAAATGAGAAAACACACAAATAAGTCTCAAAACCAGACTTCCAGATCA